TAATCGGTGTGACCGCGTTCATACTCCCGAAAAAGTGGAAACAAATTCATTAGAATGCATCAGACTTTCTACAATCGTTTGATCGTAATTTGCCACGGCAAAATTCTGTCAGTAGCACATTTGGGCTCTAGAGGAAGCAAAAAATGCTGCCCACTTATCGAAATCCCTCACTAAATTCCACTAAATGCAAACCTTTTCACTTCTCCAATAAGTGTTCCTTGTTTGTCGAAGTAGTAAAACCCAGGGATGCTGACGGCTCGGCTCTCCGATAGCCCGCTAATGTTTTTTGTTAGCCGCCTAGCTGATTCTACGACCTTCACCCTAAAACCAATTACTTAATCTGGTTTTGAAATGGAGGGAATTTGACCACGCGATTTTTCGTCGAAGCAGTGATCGCTGATTTCTCTGTTGCTTTAGAAGCGCCTACAAATGAGAGGCTCGGGCTGAGCATTCTTCCTTTTGGAGGTGATGGATATTCGATAGTTGGATGAACGGATTGCAGGATATGTTGAGAAGAGATGGCGTGGGGCCTTCTCGGTTCATGATCTGTTTGACTTTGGACTCTCCACCATCACTGCATGACTGGAGAAGCGTTAAGCATTCGAGAGTGGTCAATGGTTAGCATGTGAATCCAAGTCGATTAAAACACGCGTGAATGAAAATCTTGAGCGCCACTCAGGTAAAACCAATATGGTTTTACCTGAGTGGAAAGGACACAAAAGCGAAGGTCCTTTAATGATTGATTTGTGGAACAAAGTCCACCAAAGTTCTAATCTTATAATCCTTTGGAATCAGTTACACAAAGAGCAAGAATGGGCTGCTGTTTGTAGTTTTCTATCCCATGCCCTGCCCTGGTTAGTACGAAACCAATGTACCAAGAGTAGAGAGAAATAAAAAACACAGCTGTCCGGAGTGATGCATAAACTACAAAAATAATGAGAAGTCTGGAAGTTGTGCACACATGGATCGCAGGCCGGTCTTTCAAAAGTGGAATCTCGATTTGTTTGGAAGGTTGGCTTTATGAAGCATCAAACCTTTTTATGGCGAACCAGTTGGTAATCTTACATGTAATCATTTATGCTGAGTTTGTTACATCAACCCCCAAAAAAGTCTCGTTTCCACCCTTGGAGTACCAATAATTTCTGCGATCTTGTGCATCAAGAGTCAGAAAAAAAAAAGCAGGATGGATGAAGACTTTGAGAAAAATCTTAGTCGAAGTGAGTTTTTTACGAGAAGTTAGTTCACAAATAATAACCTCGTCGTGAAGCTAGATCATGAAACGCAATAATGAGACGAATCAAAATTTAAATGTCTCTTCAAAATAGAAGAAGGTTGTTCGCGGTGAAAACACAAAATTAGTATGAACCATTCAGTACTGACTATCTAGATCTTGGGCTGAAACTTCTCAAATTTCGACAAGGACTCCGAATCTTTATATTGCCGTTATATGTGTGATATTTTATTTCAAAATATTACGCTAAGAAATTTAACATCGATAACTGTAAATGCACCCAAAGAAAACTTACTAATATAAAAGTTCCAAATAGAGGAAGTTATATACGAATCATTATGTTGTAATCAAGTCGTAGTGCATCCCATTTGTTATGGCTTGTACCTTTCATGGCTGATATTTGTGCACAAAATCCTCTTTTTTTATATTTTTAGAGAAAGGGAAATGATTTATGAATTATTTGAATCTGCCACTGGAATGCGAATGATGCATAATTGTTTTCGAATTGGAGAAGTTGCCGTTGCCGGCGAGTGTCTCAGTTCTAACTCGAACTCGTTCTGTCCGAGCTATCCCCAGTTCTTTTATTCTGGTTGAGTTATTTTATTCTGGTTGATTATGACGGGCGAAGGATGTGAGGCCCGTTTGAAGTATCTCTCCTTCGGATTGTCTGGGGAGAGCTGACGGAGGTCACGAATAAGCCCGGGGGTTGACTGTCGGCAAGAACGTCGAGAACGTCGACGGAGGGCGGACGGGATTCGCTCGGTGGCTCGGTCCAGTCAAGCGAACGCTGTCCAGTGCACCCGAGACAGGGCGACGGACTGCGGTGGGGCAGTGAAGGGGGCTGCAGTCTGGAGGCGTCCTGGTTGGGGCTGGGGCTGGGCTTTTGGTCGGATCGGGGTCACCAAATCCAAGCCTCAGGGGAAGGGGGATGTGGGGGTGGGAGATTTCCGCGAGGTGGAAACCAAACGCGACGCCTGCAGCCGGCCGATCTGTGGGGGCCCAGATGCTGTCCATCGGATCAAGTACAAACGCGGGGGAGCGGGGGAGCGGGGTTAACCGGTGTTTACGATAAGGGGTTAAGCGGATGGATGGCGGGAGTCAGGGAGGGGTCTGGCCAGGAGAGCGGACGAGACTCGACACCGGGAAGGCAGAAAGAAGGTTTGGATAGGAACGCAACGTCAGCAGCGCCAATGACCCGACCCACGCGCACGTCACAGACGACCCATGCACGGGCGCCCGTCACCCCGCCATCCGTCCCCCGCCCGCCACGTGGACTCGCTCCCGTGAACTGGGAAGCCCCGTCGCGGCGCCTCGACAATGGTTGGGGATCCTTCCTTCCTCGGGACCTAGACTCGTTATTCCTCCTCCTCCTCGCGCCGCCTACCGTCGTGCCACGCCACCCGCCCGGTCAACGAGAACTTGCTCCGTTAAGGAGCTGCTGCGATGGCAGCAGCGCGCCTCGACGACGACGACGGACGACGAGGCTTCCAGGGCAGCAGCAGCAGCTCTTGGGGCCGAGAGCGCTCCAAGGCGTGGAGCGTTTAAAGTCCAAGCGCGTGCCTGGCCCTCCCGCAGTCGTGGAGCCCAAAGCCCTCGCGACGGGGCGTTGCGTTGCGGGCCTATCTCTCCCAGCTTGGGCGCTAACCCCACCAGCTTGGTCGCTAACCCCACCTCGCCGCACACTCTCGGCGACGCTGGGAAGCGCCAGTACAGTAATTTTAGAGCTTCCTGGCTTTCCCCCAAGCCCTTTCTACCTACCGACGGGAGTGAGTAACTTTTGACCCTCTAACCTGACCCTCAGCTAGGGTTGGAGGCGCAATAAACTTTTTCGAGGCATGCCCATGTCCCCAGGCATGACCGTATTACAATACGTATATTTAATGTATCAAAAAATACACATATACGAAAATAAATCACTGTTAGCCGAGAGATTTGCTTGATGGGACCCTGTGAAAAGTAATTTGCTTGATGGGACCCCCGAGGTTTAGTTTTACCCGATGGGACTCCAACGACATTGTGCCGTCGGACATAGTTCTTGTAACTACGATTACTACTAGTTACAGTGCGGGAATTACAATCAGAGATCAATCACTGGTTATAATTTCTGGTGTATTATCATGATAAAGATCAATTTTGCTCGAAGTGCAATTTGTTGTGTTTCAATTCTTCCGATTGCACCGATTCGCGGATTTCTCTGTTGACTCCCACCTGCACCTAACCCTGCTTATGCGACGAGGAGCTCGTATCGGAAAGTGGTCCGAGCTCAAGTCTCTCAATCAACCATTTGTGGCGAACAAATAAACTCCGGATGAACATTTTGCTAGTATCCTGGGGGAGTGGTCGGATACAAAACATAAAACAAGTGAGTGTGATGGAGCGCGAAGTCACTCTGTCCGAGGGTGCGATTGACTCGTTGCACTCTCTCTGGTTGTTATTAGAACATGGGTGACGGTGCATCGGTTCATGGGGTTCCAGAGGGTAAAATGAAACCTGAAGTGTACCATCAAGCAAATTACTTTCCGTAAGGGTCATATGAAGCAAATCTCTCCTCTTAGCCGGAGTACCCGTCACAAACTGTAGTCTCGGTGTTTAAACCTTTCTATGAAGGGGACGACTAGAGCCGCACCCGTTTTTGCTACGGCCACACCCGCCCGTTTAACAGCCGCCCTGGCATAGCAAAAACGGGTGTGGCCCCAGTCGTCCCTGGAGCCGGATGGGTGGACGATGACGTCACCCCTTGTAGCAGGAGTAGTACTTGAATACGGGTCGCCGAGCTCTCATCAGAGGAAAGATTTCTGGGCCGATTTCACATTCCCATGACCCTCTCGGTGTTCCATCTTCGTTTCCTGGCCACTGACAAGCATGGGCATGGTAATTGCAGCAAAAACGGGTGTGGCCCTAGTAGTCCACTTCTTTGAATTTGTTTATGTCGTAATGTCTCGGCTTGTTTTGCCATTAACCTTTGTGAGCCTACAAGTGGCTTTAGTAAACATGAAGTACGGCATGAAGTTCATTGGAACTACTCCTCGGGTTGTGTTGTGGTCAAATTTATTCAAATAGAAGAATTTAGGGCCGCGCGGGGTTTGGGTAGTATCCGCGAAAGCGGATATCTGTATTCGGAACGACTGGCGTTGGTTAGTGGGGGCGTCCCTTTCCGGGCCTGGACCTGTGGATTCTTTTCGCTCAACCCTGGACTCTGGGCATAAGAGGTTTCTTTAAAAATTTGAGGTGAGTGATGAAGAAGGGTGACTAGCGGCTCCCTAAAAGAAACACAATTTATGATCCTTCACCATAATCTACTCATTCGCATTTTCCATACAGGGCATGATCGTATGGAAAATGCGAATGAGGCATGCCCGTGGGCATGGCCCCGTACCCACGGGGTTAGAAGTACTGTATGCCAAAGAAGTCTCCTTCGAACCCAAGGGGGACTCGACCAGCGGGATAGGGATGCGTACGCGGAGATCGTAGCCATTTGGCCATAGCCCCACACCCCCCCCAGTTTGACCCCTCCCGTACCCCCGCTTGTCGTGGCCCAACTCTGAGAACAATGTGTGCTAAATGACTTTTCTGCTCAAGAGAGCTCGTAGTCATGTAGGAAACCGAAACGGCGAGCGAGAATGTAGAATTCGTGAAGTTAACTTTTACTGTTATAAAAGCATATACGAACTGGTGAATAGCTACAGGGACTCATCACACTCCGTTTTGGGAGGGGCTCCAACTCTTTAAGAACCATTCGCTGCATAGAGCCTCCCTCTTAAGCTGCGCTACTCTTGCACCCTCCAAACACCACTTCCCTCTCAACACCTCCTCCCTGCACATTGACGCACTCTGTGCGGAGCAAGCAAGAGAGCCAACGAGCTCAAGCTCCTCTCGGCTCAGAATCCTGGAGCTCCTCTCCTCTCAACCTCCGAGCGTCAGTTCGTTTCTCTCTTCCTCGCATCCTGCCTTTGGTTTCCATCTCCCACGCAGGAAGCTCAAGCCGAAGTTGAAGAAGCCGAATCAACCCCGCTTGTACAGGGTTCGCGTCTGCTCGTTTCTCCTCCCTTTCTCCCTCCTCCCTGCCTCCCTCTTCCTCCTCCTGGCGTGGCCTCCGCTCTGCTGCGAGCAGGGTTTTAGATCGTCTCCCAGAGAGGAGGTAGAGGGGCGCCAGCACACTCACTCACTGCCTTCATAACGCTCTGCACTTGCGCCGGCGACAGGCAGGTGGTTTTGTGGGTGACGACCGTCGTCATCAGCTTCTATTTTGCTCAAGGAGATTTGGAGCATTTGCATCGCAGTCAAGTGAAGTGAACAGAAGAGCAGTGGGCCGAGTTTTGAATGAGTGCGTTCTTTGGCTCACAGGAGTATCTGGCACACGTTCAATGTGTTATTCGGTTATGATCGTCTGCTTTCCGGGATCCCGTTAAGATTTTATTCACCGGCTTGCGGATACACAAGCTTTTGTACAGGAGAATCTGCTCGGTTCAGGATGCTCGTCATTTAGATCTTCTACCCATTTGGACATTTCCGGATTTTCCTTTTCTCCGAGCACGACCACCAACAGCAGCGCCTGGTCATCTCCGGCGACAACCATCTTCTTCGTCGTTTACTCGTTCACTCTTACCCCATAGGTACTGGCGGCAAGTCTGACTCAGAATCAAGGTCCGAGTTCTTTGAAAATCGCTGAAAATTGGTCTTTCTTTCTTCAATTAGTGCTTCTAGACGGTGAAGCTTATTTAGCAAGCGCACCACCTTCTCCCGGACACCAACGTCTATATTGCGTCTATCCGGGGGGTTTGAATAGGCACAATTTGCCAAAAGAAAGAAGGTTCGGAATGAGCTGCAACGGCTGTCGGGTACTTCGCAAAGGGTGCAGTGAGAGCTGTATTCTGAGACCATGCCTGCAATGGATTGATACGCCGGACTCGCAAGGCCACGCCACTGTCTTCGTCGCGAAATTTTTCGGCCGATCTGGGCTTATGGGATTCATCAGCGCAGTACCGCCGAGCCAGAGACCCAGTAAGCAATCACTCTCGAACCCCTTGTAGTTGTGTTTTTTTTTTTTGTGGTCTGTGTTCCTCTAGCTCAGTCATAGACCCAGGAAGCAACCACTCTCGAACCCCTTGTCGTTGTGTTTTTTTTTTGTGGTCTGTGTTCAGATCAGTCATAGACCCAGGAAGCAACCACTCTGGGTGGGTTTTTTTTCTGTGTGTTTCTCTATAGCCCAGTCAGCGACCCTGTAAGCACTCCTTAGTGCTTATTTGGCCTCCTTGCCGTTAGTGTTTTTTGGTTTTTCTAGCCGCCCGGGGGGTAGAGAAACGGACTTAATGTATGAGGCGGCGCTTTGTTAGCCCACTTGTCCCTATATTACAGCGCTTGCGCTAATAGCCCCTTCGTTCTCTGCGCAGATGTTTTCCAGTCCCTTTTATACGAAGCTTGCGGGCGCACAGTGAATCCGGTGTTCGGCGCCGTGGGGTTATTGTGGGCTGGGAAATGGGATGTGTGCCAGGCTGCAGTGGAGACGGTGCTGAAAGGGGGCTCGCTGAGACCTCCATCGCCCACAGCTATGGAGGTGAACAGCGGTTTGTGCAATGGCGGGATGCGCAGTATTCCGTTTCCCGTCGTGAAGCCCTCGCAAAATCTGAGCTGCCCGAGCGACACCGCGGGGCTGGCGGCCTCGGGCGAGAAGCCTCAATGCTTCAACAGAGTGCGCGAAGAAATTTTGGAAGGGATGGTGAATGCTCAACACTCTGACCGAGCGCGGCAGGAACTTATGTTTGCGTTCGAGACGAAGGCCAAGGCCATCGACGGTGAGCCTCCTTTGGTCCAACAGTTTGGGATCGATCAGGGAGTGCACGAAGGAGAGTTCATGAAATATGCGCCGGGGCGGTTTGATTTCCCCAGCGTGCGTGGATTGAACATGCCGTCCTTGAAAAAGGGCAATGAGGGCGAGAAGCGCGAGACCGAGGAGCGGACGACGGACGGGCCCCAGGTCGTCGTGCCCTTGGCTCGCCGCGTGGCGAACAGGACGAAGGTGCTGGACTTGCGCCCGCCCTGCTCCACCTCCGATGCGCCCGTCGCGCGGGTGGAGAATGAGGAGCGCGAGAAGCTGGAGCTGGATCTGACTCTAAGCTCGGTGTCTGCCGCCAAAGAGGAGCCCAAGGCCTGGACCTCGGGCTTTGTTCCGCTCGGTGACCACAAGGTGCGCTTGGCGAGCAAAACTGGAATCGCTTGCAAGGGCATGAAGAGAGTGCTCAGCCCTAACTCTTCGGAATCTGTCAACTCCGAAGGCTCGGTGACGAGCCTCGACAGTACGTGCGATCTCTCGCTCTCGCGTGCGTCTACAGGATTCTGGAAGGCTCACAAGTGCGCGCCGGGGCCTGTCAGCAGCAGTCACTCGCGCAAGGCGCTCACTCTTTTCCACACCTAGTGGTCTGTCATTCGACGATATATGATCGCTGGGCCTGTTTTCGTCAGTTTTGGAATCACGCGAAGCCGCATCCACGAGAGCGGCTTCTCGAGAATAGGCTGACAGGTTGGGATACCCGATTCTTTCGCCGCCTCCGTCTCCGCCTCGGGGTCGAGGACGAGAATCGGGCGCGAGGGAGGACGAGAAGGGAATCCAAAACGAGATGGAAAGGAGGCAGATGCACGACAGAGCTTACGCCGAGCTCTGTCAAACTCTGCGTGAGTTCTGCAGTCGAGAAACGGAGGCGCCCGAGTTTTGACGATCAGGGCGACCACCGCACCCCCCTTTTCGGTTCGTACGTCGAGTCGAGGCAGTAGTATCCTTTTTGGGGTCTTTGGTAATGAGTGTGGATAGTAGACCTGTCGTGATTCCATGTCGAATCAGGCCTGTAAAGGTTTGGACGCAGAGAGATAGAGAGTGAGAGCAGGGAGCAGATCCCACGAGCCATTTTTGACAGTTAGACAGTCTAGTCTGTACGGGAATTCGAGGCCACCAATACTGGAGCCGTAATGCTCAAGAGTCAAACACGACTGTATACATTTCCATTGCTAGTTTTTTCAGCCTTTTTTCTTACAAGGAGTTCTTAGAGAACTCGTCATACTACACATTTTTTCAGGAGGTGGCACTCCAAAGAAGAGTGCCCAAAACGTTTGGTGTACATGCACGGCATCTTTTCAGGCATCCCCCGATGCCCATTCAAGCAATATCAATTGAATAAAAGAGACATTGATAGAATCTGTGCCTGCGTGCGTTCAAGGTGTCAATGTGCTCGGTCCCGGCCATGGCAAATTGTGGCCGGGGCTTCCGAGCTGCAGCAGGTGTACAGATTTGTACGAGTTGGAGCTGCTCGATAGGCGATCTATCGACAGGCGATGGTGAAGCGAAGTGAAGTGAAGGCTCGATACGGAAGCGTTTTCGGCCCGTGCTTTGTCCAAGTTTTGAGATATCTGGTAATTAGTGGTGAGACTCGGGCTCTCTCTGTGGCGAGAGACATGTCTAACAGTAATCACTTGTGATGTTTTTCGTTGTGTAATGAAATGTAGATGTGAAGAAAATATTATTGATCATATTTCGTGCACAGTTTGGAACAATTCCCCTTGTCTCACATGGAAATCCCCCCTCCCTCCCAGTGCAATAGAGCAAATTTGTCATCTGTCGGATGATTAGAAGCAAAATCCATTTCGTCACTCCGAACGAGGAGACGAACGAAATAGATTTGTAATGTGCCTCGCTCGCTTCCATTATGTGCATGGTATATTTCGAGGTTCGATTAAAGTACTTCTTAAGATATCATCAGTCAGTAAATGATTAAAAGAAGGTCGAAATGCGCGGATGTTTCTTGATTTTACGAATGTGGCTAAGTCGTGGGAAGGGGTGACTTCTGTGCGTGTGCACAGATGACATGTCGGCGAGGTGAGAGTCTTGAAGCAAAAGTCGCACAGTTGCGATGCGATGCGGACGCGAACCGCCTCGTCTTGGACGTTTCCCGGACCGACGGAGGACCGACCGCGGGGGCTGGGGCAGCAGGCCCAGCCAGAGCAGGGCCGGGGGATAATCATTCCCAAGTTATTGGGAGGGGGGAAGCGAGTCGGCTTCGTGTCGCGAAGTCTCGTACAGGGAAAGTATAAAATAATGGCGCAGATGCTGTGCTCGTATGCAGCAAAACGGTAGCGTGATGGTACGTCAATTAGGAGGAACACCCTCGTCCTCCTCCTCACACAGTGAGCAATGCAGCGGGCGAAGCAGCGAGCAGGAGCAGGGGGGGATGGGATGGGATGCCATGGAACCGTCTCCTAGTGCTGCGACGAATCCGAATCCCGATCCGTTACATAGGGACAGTGGGCGAATACTTGATGGGCATCCGCCATATCAAACACCGCGGAACCGCACCGCTGCAGCTCGTGCGAACAGATCACATGTCCAGCCAGACGCGGTGGCCTGAGCTGGTGTCGTGAAAATTCGGGGCCACGCTGTGGCTGGCGTCGCCCGCCTCTCGTCGCGTCTGTTTGTTGCTCTTTTCGGTTGCGGGTCGGTCGAGTGTTACGTTTCCGATGGGCGAGGCGACGCGAGGCGAGAAACCGCAATGTAACGGATCGATGATTTTCAGCCATCATCCGATCATGCCCTCGATCCCTCGCCCCCTCAATCCCTGACCGAGAGTGAATCGAATCGACCGACTGACTGACCAGGCAGAGGCAGGGGCAGGCAGGGGGCTCGCCATGCAGCTTTCGCAAATGCTGCTGCGGGGCCGTACCGAGAACCTGGCTGTGTGGTGATTCTCGCTTGTGCTAAGCTAATCCTAGCCCTAGCATCACAGCATCACAGCCCAGCCCCCCGGCCTGACATGCTGTAAAACTGGGGATGTACGTAGCGAGCCCCAACCCCCAACCCCCGCGAGCCCCCAGAGTGTAGGAGGACGGTAAACTATGATTGTCGCAGCACAATGTCGGTTGCGGAGGTGGCTCTTCTGCGCTTAGCTCAGCTCTGAGAGTGAGCTGGGGTTCGGCGAGAGCCCCATGCCCCATGCCCCCAGCCCCAGGCTCCAGGCGCCCAGAGGCCAGACTCGGTCCTTTCCTCGGTGGAGGAGGCATCGGGGCCTGTGTGTGAATCTTGTGATCCGGTTCGTGAGACAAGCCAACAACCTAGCGGTCACAAGCGGGCTCCCTGGGCCAGGGAGTGGGGGGGAGCGAGGGGGGTAGGGGAGGGTGGGAATCATACACCGTGGCGCCTGCACGGGGAGCGACCGCTAGCCCCCGAGAGAGAGGCGAGAGGCGAGAGGCGTCGACGAAGAAGATTCAGTTCCGTCACTCGTGGAAAGATCCGCTGGCCTGCCTGCCTGCCTGCCCAACACAGACTCCTTGTGGAAGGGCGTGAGCCCGGTCTCGCCATATCTACATCCACATCAATGCAGTAGCAGCATTCGGTGGGGAGCGAGGCGCAAGCAAGGATTAGTTACGATGCATATGATTGACAGGGCGTCGTCCGGTTCGGAGGTTTGAACTTTTCTTCGCCGACACGCAGTGAGTCAGAGCGGCCGAGAGGAATAGTCAAGCGGCCCTGCGCTCGGCCTGCGACGGTGGAATGATTTGCTGTCGCCATCACAACTGACATGCAACCCACACTAAAGTTGCAGTTACAGCTCCTGCCCGAAGCTCACAGCTCGCAGCTGCTCCTGCATCTAGTCTCCTTCTAAACTAACACCGCTAACAACTCCCCCGTCTCTCCCTCCCTCCCTCTCTCTCTCTTTCTCTCCCTCTCCCCCCAGGATAAGATCGAGCCGTGGTCGCCCATGCCTCTCCTCTCTTCCTTTTTCTCGTCTCGATGCTTATCTTAGATCGTTCGTTCCTTCGTTCGTTCCTTCCTGCCTGCCTGCCCCGCCCCGAGCCCGACCTCGGCAGCAAAAGCTGTCACGTAGCTCGGCTCCCACAAAGCACAATGCCCATTAAACACCCGTCCCCACAGCAGCTCCCATAGCCGAGGAAAAGCAACTTCGCATATCCATAGCTGCCGTTGCTGTATCTGCTGCCGCTGCAGCGGCACCAGCTGCCGATTCAGCTGACTACAGTTCAGCTGCAGACCACTCATTTACGTCCGAGCCTTTCCTGACAAGGTTTCGCCCGCCCCCGCCCGCTTTCTTTTTTATTTTTTCTCGCCCTCTTGCCCCTCTTGATTTGGGTGGGGTGCCCACAGGTGCCTTCGGAGGTCAAGCCCCGCCTCCCTGACTTTTTCTTCGTGCGCAAGGAAAGCCAGCACAGAAGCAGATTTATGTCGATGTCTAGACTCGGCATAGTTGTTCAGTCCACCCATCGCACAGTCTCCTGGGGCCGAGTCCAGCCCGATCCGGTCCAGTCCGGCTCGGCCCAGGTGTTGTGGGATCTGATGGGATGTGACACCTCGCTAGCGATGGAAAATTATCATGACCGCGTCTGTTGAATGCGGAGACTGAGGTATAAGGACCAGCACCATCATCTGCTGCAGCGGGCGGAGAGAGATGTTCAGACCAGAAGACGTGAAGTCTCTGATTCCGTTGAGGGTCGCGTTCGCTTTTTGTCAGTTGGGTGACCCTAATGCTCATGCACCGGGCACTGCCTACCCCCGCCCCCCACCCCCTCCCCAACCCCCGCCACCCTTTGCCCCAGTAGCGACTCCCCGCAGTCCTGCCTCGCCTCGGAGCCCTCCATCCCTACGGCTGCTGCTGCCCGCCTGCCCGCCCGCCTTCCTGCTGAGACCGACGTCTGGCCGGCCACGGTCCGGGCGTCTTCGCGGCGCCCGCCCGTTGGTTCGCCTGCCCGCGCGCGTCGCCACAGCCACGGGGGGAGTCTGCGAATATTCGCATCTTCCCGCCTCGCCTCGTCCTCACACGTGTCTCACTACTCGCACGTGTTGATTCTTTCTTGGACGCAAAGAAACTCCGACGCTCGGGGACTCTCGAGTTTCCCCCTTTTGTTCCCCTCCTCTCCTCCTCGTCCTCCTCGTCCAGCCCCAACCCCCCACCAACGACTGATTGCAAAACCCCGCCGTGCCCCGTACGAATGTTCTCCGAGCTCCTCGTCCCGTTCTTCGCGCGGCTATCCCTTGTGACTAGGGGCGGTCGGCGGTGACATCTCAAATCAATCAGGTTTTTTATCCGTAAAGAGAGAGAGGTGTCCAGGCCCCAACTTCAGGGTCCGATTTCAGTATTTCGATTTCAGAAAGTTTCTTATTTCCAAATACAAAAATAAGTCTTTGTTATCTGGTGTCTTTATTAGAGAAACTAACGAGTGGTGTCGCAAGTTAATCAGGTTTTTAATTCGTAAGGAGAGTGAGTGGTGTCGACACTTATAAATACAGAAATATGGAATTTCAGGGTCCGATTGCAGTGTTTCGGCTTTAGAAAGTTTGTTATTTCCAAAAAAAGATGTTTTTTATCCAAGTGTATTATAAGAGAATCTAACTTAGTCAATAATTAAGTTTTTAATTCATAAGGAGAGAGTGAGTGGTGTCCAAACCCCTATAAATAAGGCAAATACGTAACTTCAGGGTCCAATTGCATTGCAGTGTTTCGGTTTCAGAAAGTCTTTTATTTAAAAAAATGTATTTTTATCTAAGTGTATTATAAGAGAAACTAACGTAGTCAATAATCAAGTTTTTTAATTCGTAAGGAGAGAGTGAGTGGTGTCCCCTATAAATACGGAACTTCAGGGTCCTGAAGTTCAGTATTTGCCGTATTTATAGGGGTTTGTACACCACTCACTATCTCTTTACGAATTAAAATTTTGATTATTGACTAAGTTAGTTTCTCTTCTAATATACTTAAATTAAAAATGACTTTTTTTGGAAATAGCAAATTTTCTGAAGCCAAAGTACTATAATCGGACCCTGAAGTTCCGTATTTGCCAGGGTCTGGTCACCACTCACTATCTCTTTACGAATTAAAAACTTGATTATTGACTACGTTAGATTCTCTTATAATACACTAAGATAAAAAACATTTTTTTTCGGAAATAACAAATTTTATGAAACCGAAACATTACAATTGGACCTTGAAGTTCCATATTTGCCGTATTTATAAGGGTGTGGACACCATTCACTCTCTCTTTACAATTTTTTTATTTGTAAAGATAAAAATCACCTTTTTTTGCTAAAATAGTCAATAATCAAGTTTTTATTTAGTAAGGAGAGAATGAATGGTGTACAAACCCCTATAAATACGACAAATATTGAACTTCAGGGTCCTATTGCAGTATTTCGATTTCAAAAAGTTCCGTATCCAAAAAAAAAGGTGTTTGTTATCAATGTGTCTTATGAGAGAAACTAACGTAGTCAATAACCAAATTTTTAATTCTTAAGGAGCTAGTGAATGGTGTCCAGGCCTCTGTAAAATAGGGCAAATACGGAACTTCAGGGTCCGATTGAAGTATTTTGTTTTTTAGAAAGTTCTGTATTTCCAAAAAAAAAGAGAGACTTTTTTTTATCTAGGTGTGTTTACTAAAAAAACTAACGTAGTCACTAACAAGTTTTTAATTCTAAAGGAGTGAGTGGTGTCTCAAGTTAATCAAGTTTTTAATTAGTAAAGAGCGAGGTAGTGGTAGCTTCCAAAACCGAAAGCAAAATGTTTGCCTTTACCTTTTTATCGCTCAATACCAAATAGTATATTCGGGAGTTACACAGGTTTTAAAAATGAGAAAATGAAAGTTCACGTTGAAAATTTCTAAGCTGCATGGAAGGAGATTGACCCACCCTAGCGCCCCGGGATCTACATGGAAATAATTTACCCTTTTCGGCCTTGTTTACATTATCTGGGTCAAGAAAGCGAGCGTTCGTAGTAGTAAATAAAGGCATTCAACGTGATGGCATCTTCCATCGGTCCGTTCATTGGCTCCCCTCTTAGGGGATAAGATTCTCTGGATAATAAAACTGCTCGACACCGCTTGCAACAGCATGCAAGCGCATCGTCATGCAACATTTGGAGCAAACACATTGACCTTCCCCCCTCACCTTGATCGCTCCGATGGCCTTCCGTTGAGGTCAAGCGTCATGTCATTTCCTCTCTCTCTCTCTCTCTCTCCTTCCTTTTCCCCCTTTTCCGACTTGAAGGACTCGTGATTTAAATGCACGATCGGCATTAATCTTGCGACCAAAAAGCTCTGGATTCTGTCCAAGATCAGATCTGTCGGTTGGACAGACTAGGCGATGTTTTGTGCCATGTGTTACACCCAAATTCATGTGAGCTCGGTGTGCCCTTTTGGGAAGACTTGTGTCGAGCGGAAGTGTACTCGATTCGTTCAGATGCTCACCTCATCACCGATGTGAAGAAAATTTTCCATTTTGACACTGGTCTTATGTCTTCTCAAATTAATTATAAATAATCCCGACTCGAGACCTGTTCAACATGCCCGCCCCACTTTTAAGCGCATCTTCCACACTCTCTTACCACCGATGTCGCGAATGTTCCCGCTACTGACAGCGCCTCGCCTCTTCTCATGTTTATTGAACGAGACCTGTTCGACATGCTCTCATTATACATCTACATCTACATCTACAGGCTAGGAACCTGACGACACCGAATTCTCCATGTACATACCACTCACCCCTGATCAGAGATTGATTACATGTATAGTGTCAGCAGGGCAGCATCAATCTAATATCTCATGTGCACCTCACCAGCATCGACGTGGAGTGTGGAAATATGTGGCGATCGGGGTCTCTGTTGGAGGCACAAACATGCTCTGAGGGTGTCCATGTCGACTCCGTGACTTGTACAAACATCGATACCTGCTGCTGCAGGGGATGGTGTGAGTGAACCGACCTGTCTGTCGTTTATCGCCTCAGACAAGGGTCAACAAAAAAGGAATCATGCGAGTCGAATGCATGGACACTTTCTGCAGGAGAGAGGAAATTCACGCCATCTTTTTGTGGCATCTGACATTTTTCTGGAATGGTATTCCTCTCCCCCTCTTGCAGCACATGGTGTGCTTGAAGGTGAGTCATACGATCTGTGCTCGCCTCGTACATTTGTGTGATGGTTTGTACTTCCTCGCCAGCAACGTCGGTTCTGATGCAAGTGGATTAGAGTAGTTTTCTGTCCACGTCATGTCGAAGGTGATGTTCCGAAAGTCTGACCCGTAATACCTGAACAGGTTCTGCAAACAGGAAACCTCTGTGACCATCAATCATGGTAGGCAAGTAGCTCAAAGCAGCATCTTTACCATTACAACCGTCTGAATATGTAAATCTTCAGAATAGTGGTCTACATATATCATTGCATCATACTTTCCAAAACGCACGCCATAGATTAGATAGCGGGTCTGACCCTAAATTCATAGCTACTTCCGCTGCCCCACGAGTCTTGGCTCGGCGACGTTTTGTAGTTACAAAACCTTTTCAATGACATGTAACTTCCAATTGTATTATTTCCTTTCTTTTGGGGGAAAAAGTACTCATGAACATGGACGGGAAATGGGTCCAAATTCTGAATTTGTCTGAAGCCTCAAATGTTCACCTCACTTCCTCTCTTGTAACAGTTGTGCCCTCTCACTACCGTAATCTCGGTGACGATTATGGTAGACCCAAGCTCTTGGCGGACCATGGTCGTATTTTAAGCTACATATGCAGTGTCAATCATTTTTGCTGGAGTAATGAAATATCTGGTCCCAGTCCATTTTGGCTTCACCGACCTACTACTCGTGTAATGTTTAGGATCAATTACACTCATCGACCATAATGAGATTACTGGCTGACATCTGAATTTCGTAGCAGAAGATTGGGCGTGGTTTGTAAAACTCCTACTCATATGATGACATCTTCGGGAAATTCAAACTATCACTTTACACTTAAGATTAATTTTTTCTCAATATAAAACCGGTTGGTAATAATCGTAATCGCCGGCACCTGCTCCGGGCTTCGATTACTTTGAAATAGAAGATGAACCTCTGACAGTGCAGAAAAAGTGAAGCTCGCTAGAGTCTCGCTGAAGGTGACGTGAACTTCCGAATCAAAATGAGTACGAAGTCATACGTACTCATCACAGAGTCACTCCAACCTCAGCCACATGATTTGCGTTTGTCTTCAGTCGGCTGCTACAAGAACACGAGAGCCGTCGTTCAAAACGTGCAAATTTCCTAGAGCCGGTCGGTCCCATGGTTTCCCTGATTCTGTGTTGTTGTCTGTACTGCCGAACGGCGTCGTTCCATGTTCTGTCAATTTGGGGCTGAATCTGAACATGGACGTGATTGTTTGGTCTTGATTGGAAGCCTGAGGGGATAGGATGGGATAGAACAGTCATTACTCCACTTCACTTAACAATAAGTGGAAGAGATTTGAGGTGTGTTGGGATGAGCGAAGGGGGCTAGGCCACACCGCTGCTGCTGCATAGATCATGGATCCAAGGAAAGAGGAAGTCAAGAGGAAGCGCATAGGCTTGGGGAGATGATGATTCAGTGAGTGCACGCACACTCTGGCGATGGAACAGAATGTGGGCGATGCCCGTCCCGTCGGTTGAAAAGGTCAAGGATAAGAGGATGATATTTCACAAAGTTCTGGAAGAGAAAGATGGAAAGCATGCACAGCGAAAGGAAGCGCCACAGTGATCGTGTATCGGGGACGGGGAAAAGACGACGACGACGACGAGGATGAGGATGGCCCCAGGACGTGAATTGTGGAAAGTGGATCGAGAAGAGGAGTACAATATTTCGAGAAATGGCTTAAAGAAGGCCCCGAATGATAGTGCCCTGAATCTCCAACAGTGAAAGGGAAGAAGACAAAAGGAGTAGCCGAGGTTCTTGTTCTAATCGTCTGAGTTGAGCTGCCCGTGGAGCGCCAACAGATCGATAATGTACATCGAACCCTCCCACCATCCCGTTCCGTTCTGGGAGTATAAAAACAGCCACCTCGCAGCATGGCTCCACATGCTGCTCAACGTCTTCGAAATCAGAGTCGCAGTCTCGGATCCGGATTTGATGTTAATAAACAAATGTCATGTACCGTGATCGACCTCCGGCGCGCGGAAAAGTCCACCAAGAGCGGATTGATTCGAGAGGGATAATTCTCGAGTACAAACAACAGTGCCGCGCAACAGATCGCCGTAAATCGTCATGCGTGCTGCCCATCTCTCCCTCCCATATGTTGGGGGATGGCCAGTAAGGTAGGGTTCGTACTTGTGGACGAGGTGGGGCGAGAGCACCCACAGCATGGAGGACAGATGCAGACCCCAACTCTTCCAGTGGTGCTTGCTAGCCCCAAGCCCCCGGCCCAACCCACTCCTTTCCCCTCCGCGAGGCCCAAGCCCAAGCCCTCCCCTTTCCCCCGCCAACCCAGGCCCAGTACCTTCTCTACGGGGGCAAAGGCCCTCCAAAGTGGGAGGGGGCTGCATGCTGCCTGCCTGGAGGCATGGACATACAGTGAAGGAAGAGTCGCACTTCCTTCGACACCTTCTCACATTTCAAGAGCTGTTGTGAACAGTAGATGACGCCAAATCTGAGAACGTTAAAATATCCCCATTAATAGCCCCCTGACAGCGGGCGGTATGGGCTTCCCGTCCTGGGTCCCCGCCCCAGTGTCTGCTTGCCCAAAGTCCACACCGTGCGGAGGTCGGAAGCTCCCCTTTCACTTTCCGCCTCCCGCCACTGGTCCGGTCAAACTCCCCTCCCCTGCTCTCTCCGTTGTACTCTAACCTGTTTTAGTTTGGTGGACTCTGCGCTAATTTCCCACATTACCGCTAATCCCGTTCCATTCATTTTCCGGAATCCACGGGTTCGGTCAAACTCCCCTGCCCTGCTCTCGGCTGTACTCTAACGTGTTTTAGTTCGGTGGCTACGCTAATTTCCCACATTACCGCTAATCCCCTTCGATTCATTTTCCGAAATCCACTGGTCCGGTCAAACTCCCCTGCCCTGCTCTCGGTTGTACTCTAACGTGTTTTAGTTCGGTGGACTCTACGCTAATTTCCCACATTACTGCTAATCCGAAATCCACTCTGTTTTTTCTTGTCAGGCCTTTGCGGAGAATGTTCCAATGAAGATCACAGCCTGCTAATGCTCTCGTCCATTCACGTCGATAACGATGTGTTTCTTTGATAGTTTTCGAAAGGATTAAGAGAGCACGTATATTAATATTATAATTTTAAGACAAGTTACACATCTAGATAGCTCTCACTGAAAATTCCAAAATTTAATGATTGAGTGACATTCGAGCACGATTCTAGACAAATGAGAGTCTTCCGTCTTGTCACCTTCGTCCCGGCACACCCATCCTCGCCACTCCGATCTTTCGTCCGAACTTACGTAAAACAGACAGAACCATGGAGATCACGTAATTTCGATTTTGCCTCTATTCGGCTCCGGCGTATCTTGTAGTAAAAAGTCCCTGCCTGCGTCTCGTCCTCCTTCGTGGCACACGTCTTCACTATTCTGGAGTATTCTTTTCCCGTGCATGACAAGGCCTCTTCCATACCGAAGCCTGGAAAGCAGCTCGATGGACCTATTGGACGTGCCGGATATCCACGAGCTGTAACCACTCCGGTACTTTATAGGTTCGTTCTTAATATTATGAAATAGTAATCTGTCCTCGCTTCTTTAAAGTGAAAAGTGACTTCTCGGATGCTACTCGGGTGGGCTTCTCCGAGGCAGATGCGCGAGCCGATCCCGCCAGAGTTAGGTGGCAACCTGCTTCTCTTAAAAGCCTGGACCTGTTCCTCATGTCCAAGATCAAAAGCAAGAAAACACCGGGAATATCAAGACCTCATGCTTCAAGATGCCTCGAAAATCTCCGAGCTTTGCAAGCAATAGAATTCACGTCGACGGTGGGTCTCGAGAACGAGTACCTCCCTCCCTCGTTCGCTCCCTTTTCGATTACATTCTCTGGTCGCGTACGGTCAAACTTTGCCACAGGACCTGGAAATGGAAACTCGATCTCGATCTGCTGCAGAGCAGAGTGACTCCCCGACCCAGCCCAGTCGAGCCTCCGTTGTTGACTTGTGCAGCAGCTCCATAATGCACGGGATGTCTACACGGTTCATGCTCCATTGAAATCCGCCCATGATGCTCTGAATTTTTTCCCAGGCTCTGAATTTACCACTGTGCGGTCCTGCTCGTCACTGTCGCTCCATTCCAGTCATCCAGTTTGGGCTTGCGGGACTCTAGATTTGGTGCTTATTCCGCATGTGGTCACTCCCACACGGTCCCGAGGAAATATAATATTGAGCCCAGCATTTTCAACAATCAAAACAGCTCCTCTACAGTCGGCCTCAGACGTTTATAATTCTATATTGTACTCTCGAACTGCGAGAGTTAAAGCCTTTCGCTTTTAGTCTGAGAGCAGGTGGTATCCTATCTAAAGCCCAAGTTATGGGAACGGAATCTGGGACATCTGACAGTGACAAAATTCTCCGCTTTTTTTCTGTTTCCAGGTCGTTAGCGATGGTAACGAGGGATCCTGGAGGTTAGGATGAACAGCTTATATACAATTATGGATATTCTTCCAATGACCTCCTCAGTCAGTAGATGCTTTTTGTGTATAAGTGGGAGTTTTCTTCCACGCGTTCTCTCTTGTGCATATGTGTAATGATAGTGGAGGGACGCGTGGTTAGACTACTCTTTTATGACTGATTGGGCCTACGTCCTTTCTGCTACGCCTCAGACGTATTCTGCTAGTACAATATGTTCTGCCTGATAGGCCCATGCTTGCTTGGAACAGTTTGAGCTCTCGACCATAAGTTCCCAGTTCGGTACTCTATCCGAATATCTATAGATTTACAGTATATGTTATGCAAATTGCCGTCGAAGTATGCTATGAGTTCGAAGTCATGTTGACTCAGACACTCTTTTATTAAAAATTTTGTTAGAAATATAAAGATAAGTCTTTTTCAGTAGTTCATTATAGCTTGACAAATTATTAATAACTTTTATGAATAATATTTTATTATTATGTGTGTAAAGAATGTTAGTCTCGTAAGATATTTAAACTCTTCTGGACATTGATAGATATCTTCGAAGGAGGAAGAAGTTGGAATCAGAATGAGTAATCTCTCATGTGTCGCGGCTAGGCTTCCATGGTAATTCAAGTCATTAAGTTTATTCGTGTTATTGCCTTCTCGTAGACTGAACACAATTCAAATATCAAATTACAAAATTTTGTAGGTTCTGCACATTTATATCTGCTTGTTTTTTTGCTAAATCAATGCAATTCCGCATAAACTCATAGTCCAAAATGCGTGATGTCATGTTTTCAATAATAAGTGTATGAGCCAATAAAATACGAATCTGAGCTCAATGCTCTTGTGCTTCACATCTTTCATTCTAAAAAAGCTATATTCTTGTTGTTATCACAAAAAGTATAATTATCACACAGTGATGAATTGATAAATTCTTTCAGAAAATGCTAAATTCAAGTTTTAAGAGATAAAGTCAAATCTATTGCTATTTTTAAAAGTACACACACATTTTTCAGTTTTTTTATAAACATGTGATTTCGCATTTCATGGTTTTGCATAAAAAAAAATCATCGTACAATAAATTTATCAATGTTACTTTAATCTTTATAATTTTAAATAATCACAAGAAAAGATTCATATGTGGTAATTAGATGTTAAAAAAATGAGTTTAATATAATGAAACTCTATACATGTGTCAGATATGTAATTTTTCATTTTTTGAATTACTTTGTTTAGTTTTTTTTTTTGATGATCAATATAATATATATTGGATTTTTCATTAGATTCATAAATTAATCTAATGAATTAAAATTGAACTTATATGAAAATATATTTAAGGATTCAAAAATTCAATACTTGAATATTCTAAAAGAAAAATTTTTAAAAATATGATTAATTAAAAAAATTACATAGAAATTTTAATTTTTCAAATTAATTTTTTATTCAATTTTTATAGAGAGCTGTTAGTTATACCTCACTTTTGGCTAATTATATCTCATCCTACTATACTTTTTTTACGTTATTGATCAGATGTAGGGACGTGACAGGCAACTGACAATGATGGAGCCGAATTGTTCACTTGCATCTAGTCCTCTGCGTCTCACTCTTGATGCCTCACTATGCGTACCGCCTCTTGATTCCCTCCACACGAAATGATTCTTGTTCTATGAAGGTTTGTAAACATCTTTAGTTAGTAAGAACTAAAGTAGAGGTTGCTCTAAATATTGATATAGATACTTTAGTGTGCACTAGTCATAGTTGCCACAGCAGCGATCCGTGCGCTTGCTAGGAAGAAAGTAGATGTGTTAGTTGACAATGCCACATGAGCAATCCGTGTGCTTGTTAGGGTTATCTGCCACGTCATACATCCACTAGAAGTGAGATAGATGGTGTGGATAAGATCTTATCTCCTTGAACTTGTTGATGAAAGCTATAAAAGGGAGAGGAGAATCATTGTGGGTATCTCTCATCTTCAAAATTTATGTTTCCATCTTCGAGTGAAATTCTATCTAAACCCTAGTGTTACAATGGTATCAGAGCAAATTTGATCGTTCCTTGAGTTTGTATTAGCCCTCATGGAATAACAAGTGAGTGATGATGAAGTGCAGTTTTGAGAGTTTATAGAGACTGGTAGAAGTCATTGATCTGCATATAGAGAAAGCAGGAAAGTGAAAATTTGTGGTTTTGCAGATATGGACGGGCTTGACAGGAATCAAGTACAACATTGATTGATTTCTAATCTATTCATCTTCGTTGTATGGAGAAACATCATTTTCAGTTGTACCTTGTGGCTTGTTAGAGTGCAGATCTTATTACTAGAGTGATGGAATCAACAGTGCCAATGATTTTTCCAATAATTAATTATGGAGAGACTTGAAAATGTACCATATATATTTTATACTGAATGTTTCATGGATTTTAATCACAAACCATCCAGTCCGGTTCGGTTCAACATTTATGTAGAGATTAGTTAGGTATACCGAAAGAATAGATTGTGGAGAGATTTTCTTGTGAGAAATTTTCTTGTGGGAAAGAGTACTATAGAGCTGTGATAGAATCACATATACATTTTGTGGTTCTTTTTTTATAATCCAAATTTTGTTTATACTCACTTTGCATTAGGGTGAGTGTAAGAAAGCATGGAGACATCAATCGATATGGTCGAGGTTATCAACGCACTCATGACGGAGGTGTAGGATTTGAAAATAACGATAGTAGATAGACATACCAAGCAGCAAGACATGGAATATAAAATGTTTGCATTATAGTGAGAAAGTAGAGAGATAAAGAGTTGGAGAAATGGAAGTTGAACGTCAAGTTCAAGCTTCCCAAGTTCAGCCATAACCAACTTTTTTTGATGCAGCAGAGGTGAATAGGAGACGTTTTCAACAGATTGAAGATCAAGCAAATCTTTTACTTCAAATGAGAAAATCTTTTAAGGTGTAAGCTTACAAAGGAAATAAAG